CATCTACTCAGTAGGAAACAACATAGGTAAATTATAACAGATGGATGTGGAGGTGGGGATTTCGGAATTAACTCCAGATCTGAGGCAAGTGTTACAGACTTGTGGGATATCTTCCCACCAATCAAGTCTATACACCTCTGGCCAGTAAAAATTGTGGTAGGCTATGGCCTAACACAGAATGGTAGCAGCAGAACTGGGAGTAAAGTCTTTCTATAACGGTTTTAATGAGACTTGCATTGTTAGAAACAATGGCTTTTGTAGGTTATACAAAACCAAGGACCTAACTTCTTGCAATCATTTTTTCCCAAAAACAATTTTAGACATTCATTAAATTTGATTTCATGCCTATAAGATTGACATCTCTACTTGAAACCTTACCACGTAGCCTTTCTTCAATAAAATATGCCCTGATTGTTCGAAGGAAGTGGTCCCACCCTGATGGGTTCCCCTTCTGCTTTTTTCACCTCTTCTCTGTTCATAGATAAGCAAAACAGAGTACAAAAAAAATAAAAGCCATTTGGGGCCACAACACAGCAAGGTAATACTTGAATAAAGTACACCCAGCTTCAGAGGAAAACTAACCCACAAGTTAAAGAAACTGATCAATTCTTAATTAAAAAAAAAAGAAGGAAAAATTATTTTAGACCTGAAAGAGAACTTAAACTTTTAGTCAAGGCTGCACATTTTTACAAATGAAGAAAGACACAGAAAATGAAGGGGGATGTCTAGCATTATGATGCTACTTGGTGGCAAGATCCCCATCCCCACCACCCCTACTACCCCCACCACTCCCACCACCACCCTCCTCCCCCACAAAAAAAACCCAACAGCCACAGACTGTCTTCAAATGATTAGAAGACAAGACTGAGGCTGCTGGCATCTAATGAAAAATAATTCATCCAAAAGAAGAATATTAAAAAGGTAGCATGAATTCCACACCAAGGCTTTTATCATATGTATTAGAAAAATGAAATAGATGACTGAAGACTTAGAGGGGCTTGTGATTTACATAATGGAGGGAAAACCCACCACCAATAAAATAGCTGATCAAAATAAGGATTATTATATGTTAATGAAGATGGAGAAAAAAATTAAATGATTATTAACATGTGATTCAACTTAATCCTGGAAAGGACCTTAGAAATTATGTAGTTCAATCTCCTCATTTTACAGGAAAGGTAATAAACAGAGACAACCTGGGTTTGAACTTCAGCTCTTCCACTGGCTACCTCTATGGCCTTTGGACAGGCCATTTATTTTCTCTAGGTTTCAGTTTCCCCACTTGCTAAATGAGGGAACTGGACTAGATGGCCTCTGAGATCCCTTCCAATAAATGTGTAATTGTGAGAGGTGAGGTGTGCAAGTTCATAGTTAGCTAGTGGTGGTGCCTGGACTAGAACTGAGTAGAACATAAATTCCTTGAGGGTAGAAATGCTGTGTTTCTGTCTTTGTTTCCTTGGCCCCTAGAACAATTCCTTGTATACACTGTAGGCACTACTAACTATTTGTGGAGTTGACTCTCCTGATTCCTAATGAACTACCCAATCTGGCTCCCATCAGTAATGCCAGATTTATTTCATATTATTCAATTACACATACACTCTCTGTTCCAAGCCGACTTACTACCTATTTCCTGTGCTTAGCATTCCATTTCCTGGTTTCTCCAATCCTAAAATGTATTCTTCTCACCTCTTCCCTTGGTTTCCCTCAAGGCTCACAATTCAAGTACCAGCAATTCTTCCAGTAATCAATACTCTCTCCCCTCCTCGAAGATGTTTTATTTTTCTGTGTTGTGTATCTCTCAGTAGAACATAAGCTTCTAGAGGGCAGAGATTGCTTATATGTTTGTTCTCTTATCTCCCAGCATCTAGCACTGTGTCTTTTATACAACATATACTTAAATGCTAGAGGAATTACATTTTTACCATGGCATTCTTCTTTTAGATAAGACTTTTCCTCCCAATGAGGATCAGTTAGAAATGTAATACCAGGCAACTTACTTAAGTATATTCCTTTAAGTAAGGAATCTGATAAGGAAAGAATTATCTTTGCCATAACTATCAGGTCCCTTTCAAAACACCGAAAAAGTGACACTTTTTTAAGAATATTCAAAGGCCAAGGCATCTCTTGAATCTCCACTGGAATTCCTAGATAGTGCTTCCCCCATCAGGTAGAATACAGACTAACCCTTGGGTTGGGTTAAACCTTGAAAGTCAGATATTACCTTCCAGCAGGGCATGGTGTACATTCCTTTGAATATTATGTGCTGCTACATCAGGTCTTTACTGGGCTTAGGGCCTGGGTGGCCAAAAAGCCCTAAGAGTTCAAAATGAAATGAAGCTTAAATGGAAATCCAAAATAGTTTGGTAGCTAGTGTGAAAGATGAGCATACTGAGATCAGAACCCTCAACATGATAATTGGTCCCTTCTATGTAAAACAAATGAATAAAGGCAAAAATTAAAATTAAAAGGGCAATAAGAGACAGCATACTTAGTCTCTGAAGCACATTTTCACATAAAAATTTATAAAATTTTTTTATGAGAAACAATTTGAAAAGAGGAAAGCAAAATTAACATCGACTTGTATAATTTTTTGAAAGACATGATACTCTCTCTGAAACATGCCTCTGAGGCAAGTAACTCTTTTAAAGGGACTTCTGCCACTACTCAAGTGTAAATGTATATGACTACAGATCTGAAAATAAAGGAACAATTAGGGAAACTTTCTGGCTAAGTCAGTACTATAGCAAAATTCAGGGACATTAGAGACCCTTGGATCACATCATTATTGAAACTGCTGTGGAATCTGCAAGAGTAAGACATCAGTTTGTTTGCTGAACTCCAATGATTAGATTAGGTTTAATAAGTCCACCTAAACCAGCCCTCTAGGTTTAAAGGGACAAAAACATACAAAAATACAAAAGGGCTATGCCAGTGGAAATAGGAAAAAAAGATCTCTAAGAAAAGTTTTATTAAAAATGATTCCAAAGTGATCATCAAGTTATTCTAACAATCTACATACAGACATTGCCAGTGCCTTGGACCAGAGATCAATCTGAATCAGTCCAAGAATACAGCATTTAAAAAAAAAAAAGGCTCCCTTTCAGGCACTGGCAAAAATTTAAGAATTTAACTTTCTATATCCCCAAAGAATCACTAAACTAAAGACAATATAAGTAGGTTAGGAGGTAGGGGATCTTGTAAGGGGGGGGGGGAGCTGTGGTTTCTGCAGTTTTCAATCAATAATTTGGCTAAATCAATGAATTTACCTTACTGTATATATTTTTTCCCAGCTGAAAGAGAGAGTAGATATAACAGAAGATGTTTAAATTCTGATAAGACATTTAAGTAAGTGATACTCCTTTATACAACACTGTAAAGACTAACTCTGAAAGACTTAAGAATTCTGATCAGCAAAATGACAAACCACAATTCCAGAGGATGGACTAATGATCTATATTACCCACCTCCTGTACAGTGAAACACATATTTTTGGACACAGCCAGTTAGGGTTTGTTTTGCTTAACTATGCATATTCCTTATGAGGATTTTTTCTTTCCCCTCTCAACAGGAAGACAGGAGATTGGTTAAGGTGTAGGGTATGTTCAGGAAAGACTAGTACCTCTGGTGTGAAGGCTGCCAAGCCTTCACAGGACAAGAGGTAGGAGGGAGAGAAAATAAATGCTTAATTGAAAGAAAAAAGTTTTAAAACTATGATACAATTTATACAGTATTCTTCTTTTATATATCAAAGCCAAAAAGCCCTAAAGGTTTGGGCATTAGGGATATGTCATCCTTAACTGTCCTTTTTATTTTTGCCTTCATTCATTTGTTTTACATGGAAAGGACCAAGAAAATGGTGATTCTGAGGGTTTTGATCTCAATAGGCTCATCTTTCACCCTGGCTACCAAACTATTTTGGATTTCAATTTAAGCTCTTTCTTTTTGAACTCTTAGGAATTTTTGGCCACCCAAAAAGCTTATTTTAGAAAAAAACAATCATATCAGAGACATGCTCTATTTATCAGGCTACAACATGTCTTAAGACGATTGTTACAAATAAATGCCTTTTAGCAAACTATGCTAATGCTAAAATAAGTTCATGGATTTGCTCTTTAAATCACAATATGCATGGTGAACTCTGGTCTGTGGAGTGTCACAGACGAGACTCTGGGCTCTAGAAAACAAGTGTTGGCAAGTCCTAAGCTGCAAAGACTTAGAAGATGAGTCTGAAAATGTTTGGGTTTGTTACATTAGTGTAGGACCTAACTTGAGAGAGGCTCATGTCCAGAAGAGTAGTTCTCGGGGAATGGATTTTTTGGCCACAGCATAATGATGACTACTAGCTAAGAATATAAGGGTTACGGTCTAGTCAGGGAAGGGAGGACATATACTGACAAGATCACAAATGCCGAGATTCATTTAATGAACCCGCTGAATAGAATTCTAGACCTATTTCAGGAAACTTTATTTGGAGTTTTGATTGACTTTCCGAAGAAAAGTATGATGAATGAAAGGTTAACAAGCACTAACTCAATTTGGCAGTGTGGGGGGAAAAAGCCACTTATCAATGACTCTTATAAAATTATAACCTTTACAGTGTGTTGAATATTGCTGGGTTTTAAGTAGGCATGAGGAAAGTATCTGCTGAACTGATTTTAGGTTTTCCCCATCTACAGAACTAGGATTATAAGAAATAACACAGCCATCACATATTTAAGTTAACTTATTTTAACTCTAAGTACCTTGCAGATTTTTAAAAAGTTGAGTTTTGACATTTAAAAGCTAATTTTAATAAACCAGACCCCTCTGGATCAATAGAGCATGGAACTACTCTCCACCAATGCTGGCAGAATTAAAAAAAAAAAAGACTGTCTTTCGATTTTCATTTTGAAAATTACCTTAATTTTCTCCATTATTTTTCCTGATTCAAACTGAGCATAAAGAAAAGTACCTGGCACACTAGGCCTGAGAGAGGAGAAAAAGAGCTTGATACCCACCTGGGAGGGCGTACTCGTGAGCTCCATCTTCTCTTGGGATTTCTCCTTCGCTAATCGAGCAGCTTCTTTGAATTCCTGAAACTTTTCTGCAAACTGAAGGCATGAAGAAAACTATATACATTAATCAAACAAAAAGCTATTTCATAAAATGTACTTTGAAAATTTTCTAAATGGATGGGCTTTTGGAAGAGATGCACTGTTTAAGTATGTGAAAAAAATCAATTAGGCATCTCTGATACCAAAATGGTGACAAAACAAAGCATTAGATGAAACCACGAAAGTTTACATTAGCCTATTGCTAAGACTTCTAAGTGTCAGCAAATCTAATAAAATGTCCTAATATTAAGTGGGGGTAAAAATCAACAAGAGAAACAATATATTAATCCAGACAGGATCCCCTTTAAATAGACTTTATTTTGATTGCTTATCACCCAGATAATTAGATTTCCCACAGCAGCCACTCTTGAGAAGTATGATATCTGGAGAATGCTTTTTGTTTTTATATTATGCAGTGAGCTCTTGTACATATGTTACTTTCTTATTTTCATCAATACATGAATCCTATAGTAATGTTGAAGTACTTTTCATTTCTGTTCTAACATCATCAATGAATGCTAGCTAGCTCTGGGAATAGTGTTTTAGTCAACAGCTGCTGCAACGTCAGCAGAAAGGAAATGAAGCATTCCACAGTGTCCACAGAACTGGCCGCACTCACAAAAGCAAAATAAATTAAATGAAATGCTAAGTACTGAGAGCACTTAGGAAATTATAAAAAGTTATGGTTAAAAGTGAACAGCATCTCTTTACTTTCTGAAGGTGGTGGCCTCCTAGTCTATTCCCATCAACGTGTGTTAAATTTGCCAAGAAGATTGACCATAAAAAGAAAAAAAACCCAACAACAACAAAAAGGCCAGCCTCCATGGAGCTGGAGATGGGGGTAAAAATAAAGGGAACGGAGTCACAGTCAAGCCTGACCAAACTTCCTCTTAGGTTCCTACCCTATTTCCATTTGGGGAAGAAAGAAAGTACTCTATAGCAGCTGAGCCTGCCCAAAGGGTAAAAAAATAGAATAAACGTGCATTCGTGTGTGTATGTGTGTACATGTGCCTACACATACACACACACATATACACACAGGTATCTAGCTCCAGCTAGGTATATACATATATGCATGTGTGCACACATGTGTATATGTGCACATATCTGTGTATACACATACATACATGACGCACGCTTATGAACGGTGTTATTGAAAATTTTGTAGAATCGGCAAGAGATAGGGATCAGTTTGTCTGATGAACTCCCAGGCATATTTATGTCAACAAAGTTCTTTGCCAGAGAGCAAAGATCATTTCTGATTAGGGATTAAAAGAATTACATACACATTCATAAATATGTAAAGTACATACAATGTGTATATATATGTATATATACACACACACACCCTTACACATAAAGATATGTATTCATGTGTATGTCTGTATATATGTATGTGTGGGTGCATATATTTACACATACTCAGAAAAGGGCAAAGATTGCTTTTCATCTCAAGCATTATATACCACCTACAACCTGATTACTCCAGCATTAAGGGTTAAATCTATTTCTCTCTAGTCCTTTAAAATTAAAGGTGAGAAAATTTAGAAAACTAAAAAGTTCTAAGTCAGAAAAAAATAAAATAAAAGCAATGTTAAAACAAATTTCCTCTGATATAATTTGTCAGAGTATTTATATAAAATACTTCTTCCTCATTCCTGATTAGCATTCCAAAGTAAGTGTTCAAAATTCACTGTTAACTTCCTATGAATTCACAATATCTTCTTAACTATTATTGTCTCGTCTTCTGAGGGAAAAATTGAAGTCAAGTTACAAAGTTCAATGAAAATGAGACTAGTTGCTTAATACTGGTATTTCCTTGTGCCTAGAATGGCATCCGCATACTTTCCACATCTATCTGTTAAAATTACATTCATTCATAGCCCAGCTCAAGTGCTATCATGAAGCACTAATAAGAAATGATCCTTCCTTCCTTCCTTGTACCTCACTTTATTTTCATACTTCTCTTCAATTTGTAATGTTTTGTATAACTACTGCATATCTGTTTATATATCTATATATAATATCACCTTTCCCTCCAACTCACCTCCCTAGCTAGATTATGAGCCCCCTGAAGAACAGGCCTTCTTAATTATCTTCCTAGCAATGCTTTCCACATTGTAGAAAGGCTATTAATAAATGAGTGCTTAATGAATAAACATACCAGAACTCACACATCTCAAAGGAAAGGTAGCCAATTTTAATAGAAGTAACACTGAATTTAATATGAGAAAACCTGAGTTCATATCCTGACTCTAAAACTCATTACCTGAGTGACCTTTGGCATGGCACTTGATGTCTCAGAATCCCATTTTCTTCATCTATAAACGAGAGATTCAGACAAAAAGCTATATCTATTCCCCTGTGAAATGACTGCATCTTCCTCAGAGGAGTCACCTTAGGAATCTATACATTTATTTCAATGGTGCCAGCAGTGAAAACACTTTTGGAACTCATCTTTTGGGTCTGAAGTTTGTGTAAATTATGGATGAACTCTGATGGCAATCTCATTCCACTATGATTATGCTTTATTTGGGAGCCCACTTAGTCAACCAGTCATTCATCAGATTTGTCTCTAAAAATGTTTAGCTATCATAAAAAAATCATATTCACCCTAAAAGGAACAAACTGGCCACTGCTGAGGACATTCAAAAGCCATTCCCAAATAAGAGTTCAAAAATGTATTTCAGTAACATGAGCATCACTGGAATAAGTATAGAGCCTCTCAGAATGACTACTCTGAAGAGAACAACATTCTTTGGTTCATATCCATTCTGATATGATTGTTTGGAAAATAACCTTACAAGTTTGTTTTAAAAATGCCACTGCTTATATGTCATTCAGCTCTAGTCTACAATTCATGAAACATACCTTAAAAAGTTGATTACATGCTATGCTTTTGGCAAGATAAAATCTCACTTACCAAAAAATAGTCTGATTCATTGACAAAGATTATGATTTCTTCAGATTGATGGTTTAAAAAAGACCATAAAATCAACAGTTCTTGAATGATAAACCTAAGACTTTTTTAAAACAATTACTCTTTAAAGGATCTTTAGTGATTCCTGTTTTAGGATGAAAATTTCAGTCTTTGCACAGGGTTCAATACTTTGAAATATAAAAGAGATAGTGTAGTGAATGGGGGAAAAGACCCAAAAAATACTCCAACAAACATTGGACCTGGGGATGAGATATGAATCCAGGTTTCCTAATGCTGACAATTATTAGCTACTTGATCATAGTGCAGGCCATTTAAACTATCAACTTCAGTTTCCTCATCTGAAAAAAATAAGGAAAGGATATTTGCAATACCTATTTCACAAGATTGGAAGGCAAGCATTTTGTAAACTTGCAAGAGCTATATAAACTTAGGGTCTAATTCTATTCCATGGTATCTTGTACAAAGATTCTTGAGTTAAAAGTGTTTTTAAAAAAAGGTATAAAAAGATCAATTTGACTCCTCTGAAATGAACTAGTCTATAAAATGAGGGAAGCTGGCCTAGCACTCAAAGCCCTAAATACTCACTAACACAATGAAACCAGAAGTCAGGGGCAGAAGCAAGAAGTTCAGATGGCTTGGGAGACCTATACTAAAAGCTTAGTATAAAAGCTTAGGATAAAAGGAAATATGCCTCCGAGTCATATTGAGATGCCTTACAAATATCAGTTACAGGAATCCGGAGCCAAAGAGCCAGGGATAGGAGATCAAACTTAACTTGCATCTCCATTCTACTCGCCAAGAGAAAGACAATCCATTTAGCTACCATTTGCTAACAATTTAAAAAAATTCTTCCCCCTAATAACATGCTTTGAGCCGACAGTAACTAGTTTTGAGCTAAGGGGGAAAAAAATGCAAGGTCTAGTGATACGCTTTTTTTTTTTTGCTCTTAAGTATTCCATATTCACATTTCTTTTATTGCTTCTTTAATCTCAGGTAACAACTTTCCACTTGCTCAACTTCTAATGCTTTCATGCTTCTTTCTAATTGAACTACTTGTGAAACAATAGTCACTTCTCTCAGACTTCTAAAGCTTCATATCTACACAAAGTTTCTGGGAAACAGTTTATTTCTATTCCTAGATCTAGTCTACATGCTAAAGTGAGAGAAATTTTAACTGAATAGGGTCTCTTCCAAAATCATGACACTGTGGTTGATAGTTGCATTATTTCACTGAATATGTGTCATTAACATTAACAAAGTATCGTATTATTTTGAAAGATATAATAATACAGGGGGAGCTAGGTGGCACAGTGGATAGAGCTCTGGCCTTGGAGTCAGGAGGACAAATCCGGCCTCAGACACTTGAAACTTACTAGCTGTGTAACCCTGGACAAGTCACTTAACCCAATTGCCTCCCCCCCAAAAAAAAGATATAATATTACAGTTTAAACAATGTAGATCCCTTTACAATGTGTTCCTTGACCTATACAAACTGATTGCACAAATGATTAAGCCACAGTGCACAGGAAAACTGGAAGATTTAAACACTACATTCTCCAACCATATTACTTCATTTAGATGTTGCTATATTCATTGCAGATTTCCATCTGGATTGCACAGTTACATGTAGCAAGGTAGTTGTACTACTTAAGAAGTAAATTATCTTCATGAATAATGGAACGTTTCATCAATGTTACCTAGAAATTGAAACTTTCTAAATTTTTTTTTTGCCATTTTTCTCTGATACATAACCTTCCTCCCTCTCCCCCATTCAGGATATTATTTTTGTCCAAATTAAAAACTAAATGTAGAAATCAAGGATTTGTAAATGCCTATTATATGTCAAGCACTGTGCTAGGCACAGGAGATACAAAAACAAAAATGAAACAGTGTCTGGCCTCAGGAAGCATGTAATCTACTAGGGGAGAGGATAGGAAGACTTAAGTGTACAAAAACATATACAAGATAATTGGTGAGGGAGTCAGGAAAGGCCTCTGAAGCATGTGATGCTTCTCGGGAGTTTTGAAGGAAATGAAGAGAGAGAACAGTATGTCAA